CCTTCTTTTCCCACATTGGCCTTCTCTCCAATTCTTGAGCATCTAAGCTTGTCCTCCTCTTGGGGTTTTCACATGTTATTTTTCTAATTTCTGGAGTGCCTTTCTCCCAGACATTTTTTGCCAGTTCAGTCAGTTTTATTTTCTTAGTTGTACTCTTTATTATATTTAAATGATCTTATTTCTTTTTTTCCAACTAAAAGACCATTTCCATTGTATTGAAGAACGTTGTCAACTTGTTCCAGATCTTCTGTCCTTAGGGCAGCAGCTGGAGTAACGTAGGTCCAGCGCGTATTTGCTAAAGGAAGGATGGCAGGAAAGACAGGACTCTAGGCCTGAGGCATACCCGTCTTCCGTCTTCCCATCGGAGCCCTGCTGGAGTAGCGGTTACGAGTTGGGTCGCGATCTGCACGGTTGGCAGTTTGAAACCACCAGCAGCTCCTCTGGAGAAAGACTGGGCTTTCTACTCCTGTACACAGTTGCAGGCTTGGAAACCCCCAGGGGTCCCTACGAGTCAGCTTGACTCGATGGCAGTGAGTAGAGCCTTCCCAGCAGATGGAAGTGTTCGCTTCTGTTCGACGGACGGTTGGGCCAGTTCAGATTGTCCAGAAAACAGAATGCAAGGTAGGTAGACAAAAGGTTGATTGAAAAAGGAACTGCCTATGAAGGATAAAGGAGAAGAGTAGCGTAGCTGGGGCACCAGCCTTCAGGCTCTCGTGCAGGTCTGACACCTGTAAAAGACCAGGAGCAGGAGCCCAAAGCGCCAGTGAGATTCTGAGATACTCCTGCCAGGCTACCGAGGAGCACCGGAAAAGATTGTTCTTTTGAAGAGTCCCATGTGGGGCAGAACCAGCCCAGTTCCAATCCCTCTGTTGTACTGGTTGTTTGGGAACAGAGCAGATTTGTGAAACATAATAACGAGTCCAATTGTATGGCAATTAGAGTCTGTTGGCCAACTCAATGAGTTGCAGCATGGTCTGGAGAAGGGAAATGTGAATAGGTATACTGTGTGACCACCCCAAGGGCAAGGCATAAAGCAGATGTTAATGGTAAAGATATGGTTCACCTATATGGGTGAGAAAAAGTGTTCTTTTACATGAAAGGGCTGCAAATTGGCAGTCTAGAATTGGGTGTGATAACACTACCATTATCAGGGACTCAGGCTCCTGTAGTCTTACTACTTGGATGTCTTCAGCCCACGGTTTCCACTCCTTGTGAAAGATGGCGGCTCCAGCTCCAATCATTACAGCTTCAATTCAGTCAATGCCTAAAGAAACTGAGAAATACTCCTTATTTGTACAAGTTAAACATTGAGAGCTCTGTTACTAAGGAAGAAAGACAAAAGAGATGTTGAGGGCAACTAGGCATTTCTGCCACAAGGCAGAATTCAGCTGTGGTTTAAATGCTTTATTGGCCTTATTTGATCAAATTCACATGTAAGTGATTTCTCTTAGAGTGACAGTGTGATTCAGTGACCTTCTTACAAACAAGGGCTCAGCGGTAACTTGTCTCAGACTCAGACTATAATACACATTATTCTTTGAACGTCTTCCTGCATCAGGAGGATGGCAATGCTGACGAAACCAGTGTAGTGGTACAAGTAAAATTGATAATAATTGTAGAGCCCTTTCTAAATACAGTGACAGATTTGAACACTCAATAGAGTGATTATTGTTTGATTATTATTTATACCTTTGAATGTTTTCTACTCTGTACTATTTCTTTTAAAAATATTCAATTGATTGTGATGCTTGAGTAGGGAAGTTTCTTGGGAATTTTATGCTAACTCAATGACAGAAATTTTATTGTGGTAAAAATATATTTAACAGAAGGTTTGCCAATTTTTACATGTACAGTTTAGTGACATTGATTACATGCATCATGTTAGGGTCTACCACCATTAGCAGAAACTCTGTGTCCCTCCAAGAATAACTCCTCTTTTCTTCCTCCCTCATCATCTCAGTAACACTACCAAGCTGTGGTAGTGTTTGCTTGTACATTTGCTTGTTCATATAGGTGAGGTCATACAGTATTTGTCTTTGGTATGGACTTATTTCACTCAACATAATGTTTCCAAGATTTATCCATGTTGTTGCATGCATTAGGACTATATATAATATTTGTATGTTATATTTTGTTTATCCATTAATCTGATGGACATTTAGCTTATTTTCCTCATTTTTTTCCAGAAATGAACTTTTTGTTGTTGAGAATATGTCCACCAGAACAGATCCCATTCCAACACTTTCCACATGTTCCGTTCAATTGTCCTCCCCAACTAACGTGAACT